GGGATGGGATGGGATGGGATGGGATGGGATGGGATGGGATGGGATGGGAGGTCAGGGAAGGTGGGGATGGGGTGGGATGAGATAGGGGAGCAAGGCCAGGATGGGGAGCGCAGGGGCAGGCAGGGATGGGATGGAAATCAGGGAATGTAGGAATGGGATGGGATAGGAGAGCAGGGCCGGGGTGAGGAAGCCAGAGGAGGCAGAGCCGGGTGGAAAAGCAGGGGAAACAGGGATGGGATGGGAGAGCGGATCAAGGTAGGGATGGGTCAGGAGAGGACGGGGAGGGCAGGGGAAGGCAGGGCCGGGCAGTGGGAGGAAGAGGAGGCAAGAGGAGGCAGAGGGGGTGAGGATGGGCAGGGGAGGCAAAAGGGAGCAAGAGGAGGCCGGAGGAGGAGGAGGGCAGGCAGGGAGAGGCAGAGGAGGCACGAGGAGGCCGGGGGAGGCACGGACAGGCAGGGGAGGACAGGGGGAGATGGGGCAGGAAGGGGAGGCAGGGGCAGGCAGGGGAGGAAGGGGAGGCAGAGGAGGCAAAAGGACGCAGAGAGCGCCCGAAAAACTGGACTGGAGCCGCTCCCGCAGGCGCGCCGCGAAGTTGCAGCGGAGGGGCTCCGGCTGCGGCGGGGCTTTCCCTCCGTCTTCTAAAAAAAATTGAAAAAAAATCTTTTTAAATTCCTCTTTTTTTCTTCTTATTTTGTTGGGGGTTTTTTTCTTTTCTTTTTTATTTTTTTTTCCTTTTTCTCCCCCTTTTTTTTTCCTATTTAAATAAAAAAGCAGCGGCGGAGCGGAGCTGCGGGGGGAGCACAGGTGAAGCCTCCCCCACCGCTCCCGCCCCCCGCGCAAGCTCCGCTCCCCTCCGCGTCCCCTTCCAAAGGCAGGACCTCCCCCCGGCCGAAACCTCTTCCCACCGCTCCGATCGTGCGCCGGGAATGAAAAAGAAAAAGAAAAAAAATAAAAATCCCAAAGCTCGCACGAAGCGGCGATTTTGGCCGCTTTGCCCCGGCGCGGGGGATGCGCGGGCGCGCAGCCCCTGCGCGGGCCGCTCCCGAGTTCACTCCGCAGTTTGGCTCTGCTCGGAGTTTTGTCGGGCCGCGGAGGCGGCGGCCAGCCCTCCCCTCCCGCACAAAGGGGGTTGAAAGTCTATTTTCCACTTGGCTGGATCGAAATACTCCGCGCGGGATCCTTCCCCCCGCGGAGAGGAGAGCGCTGCTGCGCGCCCGCGGGCTCTGCGCGGAAACATTCCCGCAGGAGGCTGCGGGAAGAAGGATGGGGGCAGGAAAGGCAAAATTACACGAAATCCCAGAGAAGTGAAAGCCTAAAAATGGAGCGAAGAGCGTCGGCAAAGCGGTTTTTTTCTTTTCATTTTTATTTTCATTTCCGCAAGAGAGAGAGAGAGAGAGAGAGGAAAAAAATAATCGACATTCGAAATATTTTATAAATAGATTTTCAAACATATATTTCCGTTTATTTTTTAATAGGAAAAGTGGAAATAAAGAAGAGGAGTTGGGTGAGAGAGCTGGCGGAGAGGGCAGCGGGAGCGGAGCGGGAGCAGCCGCGGAGGGACGGGGATGGGAGGGAAGGGATGGGGAAGGAGGGAAGGGACAGAGATGGGGACGGAGGGGAAGGGATGGCATCGGGCAGGGGCAGGGGACACGGGGACAGCTCGGCTCAGTGGCGGAAACTGTGCCCGGCTCCGGACCGCTCGTGGAATTTCATTTCAATCCATTTAATCCGTTGAATTAAATTGAATTTCTTTTTTTCTCTCTGGGTTTGTTTTTTTTCCCCTCGACCTTTTCTCTGCCCCCGGGGCCGGTGGGGAGGACGCGGCCCCTCCGGCGCTGCCCGGCGGCGGCCGCGGGAGCGGAGCGGGCGCTGCGGGATGCGCGGCCCCGGAGCGCGGCGCGGGGCCGGGATTTCGTTTCGTGCGGATCTCCCCGGTTCCAGCAGCTCCCGAGAGAGGAAAACGGGAAAGGCGGCCGGGCTGCGGCTGCTCCCCGCGGGATCCCCGCCGCCGGCAGCTCCCCTCGGCGCCCCGGCTCCCGAGGAACGTTCTGGGGAGGGAGCGGCTTCGGTTTGGGGCCGAATCGCCCTCTCGGGAATTTACAAATTTTCACCTGGTTTTGGTTTTTCCCTCCACTCGCCCCGGTGGTTTTCGGCGCCGGCTCCGTGTCCAGGCGAGGCTGCTCGGATGCTCCGAAGGGAACCGGGGAGCTGCTACGCTGAAACCCACCGAAAACCTCAAATTTATCTTTAAATTTCCTTTCCCCCTCTGCTGCCAGGCCTGCTCCCAGCTCCCGGATAGCTCAAGCAGGATTTTTATCCCTTCGGGAATAAACCCGCACCCGCCGAGCGGGGGTCTTGCTCGGGCCGGAGGTGCCCCTGGTTTATCGAGAGGAAAACTTTACCCTCGGAATGCCCAGAGAGGGGAGCCGGGATGGGTTCCGGCTGGATTCCGGCCGGATTCCGGCCGGGAGCGGCTCCGGCGAGGGAAAAAAGCCATTTTCCTTTTTAAGCCAAGAGCCGCCGGCCGTGCGAGCGCAGCGCAGGGCCCGCAGGGGCCGGGCAGGGGCGGCTGCTCCGGGCCCGGGGGAGCCGGGGGCACCGGGGGGTCTGGAAAACCCAACCGGGGCGTCCTGCGAGGAGCACGGGAAAGGGGAGGGAAGGAGAGGGAAGGAGGGACGGCACGGGCACCGAACTCCGGGTCGCGGTGGAGGCTCGTTCGTGGGGTGGCAGAGGGACGGCGGGGCTCGGGTCCATCGCAGCCCCGGATCTGAGCCCCGGAGCGGGGCGGGGTCCCCGGGCCGGCCCGGCACCTGCTGTCCCCTCGTTAATCGGGAGCGCCGCGGCCCCGCCACCGAAGGGCACCGAGGGGAAAAGCGGCCCCGGGCCCGGAGCGCGGCCGCGGGCACGGCTCGGCCGCCGCGTTCGAACTTCAGCGGACTTGAAAGAGCGGCTTCATTTCCTCCTGCCTCGCCCGGCTGCTCCTGCCGCGGGCACGGCTCGGCCCGGCTCCTGCCCGGCCTGGCTCTGCCCGGCTCCTGCCGCGGGCACGGCTCGGCCCGGCTCCTGCCCGGCNGGCCCGGCTCCTGCCCGGCCTGGCTCTGCCCGGCTCCTGCCGCGGGCACGGCTCGGCCCGGCTCCTGCCCGGCCTGGCTCTGCCCGGCTCCTGCCCAGCACGGCTCCTGCCACGGGCACGGCTCGGCCCGGCTCCTGCCCGGCCTGGCTCTGCCCGGCTCCTGCCCGGCACGGCTCTGCCCGGCTCCTTCCCAGCTCTGCCCAGCACAGCTCTGCCTAGCTCCTGCCGCGGGCACGGCTCGGCCCGGCCCGGCTCCTGCCCGGCACGGCTCTGCCTGGCACAGCTCGGCCCGACCCAGCTTGGCCCGACCCGGCTCCTGCCCGGCCTGGCAATGCCCGGCACGGCTCCTGCTGCAGGCACGGTTCTGCCTGGCTCTTGCCCAGCAAAGCTCTGCCCGGCCCGGCTCTGCCCAGCTCCTGCCCGGCCCGGCTCCTGTCGTGGGCACGGCTTGGCCCGGCTCAGTTCCTGCCCAGCTCTGCCTGACCCAGCTTGGCCCGACCCGGCTCCTGCCCGGCCTGGCTCCTGACCAGGCAGGCTCCTGCTGCGGGCACAGCTTTGCCTGGCCCGGCTCTGCCCGGCCCGGCTCCTGCCCAGCCCAGCTCTGCCTGGCATGACTCGGCTCTGCCCGGCCCGGCCCTTCTCAACCAGGGCACCTCCCAGGGGATGGGCAGCGGGGCCTGTTCAGGGCTGGGGGTACCGAGGTCCTGCTCCTGCTTCGCCGCTTCTCCTTTCCTTGGTTCCATACATTTGCTTGGGCTCAGGAATATTCCGGGTCGGAATAAATCGTCCCCGGAGCCAGCAGCTTCCAGCAGGGAATTCCTGACACATCCCACATGGCCTTCAGCAGGGTGGGTTGTCAGCTGCTGCATGGAGGGATGGAGGGATGGATGGATGGATGGATGGATGGATGGATGGATGGATGGATGGATGGATGGATGGATGGATGATGGATAATGGATGGATGGATGGATGGATGGATGAATGGATGGATGGATGGATGATG